ATGTTTTAATAAAAAAAAAAAAAAAAAAAAAAAAAAAAAAAAAAAAAAGAGAGAGCTTTTAAAGAAAGAAGAGAGAGAGAAGAAGCCAAAGCCGAAGCCGAAGCGAAATTGTTTTAAGCTTGTTATCTCCTCTGTTTCGTCGTCTGTGTGTGTTTGTGAAAGTGAAAAATATCAATCAAAAGAAGGAGATGATGGTCGAGCTTTTCGTGCTGGGATGCACCGGAATTGTGGTGTTCCTTCACGGAGCCGAGAGAGCTTTTAAAGAAAGAAGAGAGAGAGAAGAAGCCAAAGCCGAAGCCGAAGCGAAATTGTTTTAAGCTTGTTATCTCCTCTGTTTCGTCGTCTGTGTGTGTTTGTGAAAGTGAAAAATATCAATCAAAAGAAGGAGATGATGGTCGAGCTTTTCGTGCTGGGATGCACCGGAATTGTGGTGTTCCTTCACGGAGCCAATTTCTTCTTCCACGCTCTTACCCAGCACATTTCCATTCGATCTCTCAGGTCATCTTCTCTTTCAACTTTTGATTTTATTTTCTTCGTTTTCTTTTCCTTTCCGTTTCTGTGCTATTGCTTTTCGCCTGGATTTTGTCAGAATTTTTCGTTTTTCCTGTGCGAGAAAGTAATTTCCGTCAAAATTTTATGTAAAGCAAATTATTTTGCAAAACATTCTTTTGGATTTTGGATTCTCCATAGTCCTGTCAAGTAAAAACTCTTCAATTTTGTCCTGTGGGTTTCAGTTTCCTGGGATTCGTTGGGTGGTAGAGAGAGAAAAACGGAGGAGAGAGAAAGAGATGATCGCTTCGCTTGTCCACGCAAGGTGTTGTTGGCGCGCACCGGCGGTGATGCCTTGTGAATTGTGATTACTTTATATTATCATTATTATTAGTTTTAGTGTTCTAATTATTTAACAATTGTCACTTTGGGCTATAATAATGATATTGTGTTGCTTGTGTTTGTAAAGCCGAATAAAACCCATATACTAATTCTAATGGGAGGCTTTTACCAAATTTTGAGTTAATCCATCTTGTAAATTTTGCTCTCATAATGCTATCTAATATAACAACATTACAACTTTTCTTCATCTTATTTATTTGTTTATCAT